AAGCCTCTCTTGTTTGGAACAAATGCGATAGACGAAAAGGAGAAGGAAGAAGTATCATGTCGTATTCGGGATTTGGGAAGGAATCAGGGCCCTCTGTGCCACCCAAATCACAACCAGCCTTTGGTCATACTAACACTTTCCTCCGTCCGCCGTCTTCTTCTCTCGCAACTCCAGCTTCTCCATATGCCACTTCGCCGTCACCTCCTAGACACAGGTATTTCGTTAATTCCATTACTTTTTCCTTGTCTTCCTGAAATATTCAAGACCGTTTCATCTTGGATTCGACTAATTCTCCGTCAGTTTTTGGGAAAACCCAGTTGAAATCGAGAATCTTTTTTTTCTTCTTCCCGAATTATTGAAAAACATTAGGCGGTGATAGAGTTTGCACGTTGAATAGGGACACAGTAGGAAATTTGAGGATTTTGTTTCGTGACTTCTCGTTTTAGTACTGACATGATGTCGATTCTGAGAAGCTCCCTAATTTCATTTTACTTCAAGAGATTGTGATTCCGGCAACGGTTTATGTAGGGATCACTCTTTGTTGTATGTTGCAAGCATTGTCGTGAAAGCTCAAGTTGAAGTCCATATATTAACAAGTATTATAGTATATGATCAGGTCTTTTTCCTTAGCAGTTGCTTTATTTTCCGAAAGAACGATTCTTTGTTCCTTCTTTGACCAAATCCTCTTAGAGTGGATATAATTTGTTACTAAATGTTGCGTTGCTGATAGTACTTATTGTCTTTATATCCACTGAGTCTTCTGGTTTCAGTGCTGGGAAGAAACTATTTTATAGAGATTTGGATGCCCCTGCTCCTGAAAATCTGGCAGCAATTACAACACTTGCTGCCTCGCGGGATTCCACCACTGGCATTACAGCCAGAGTTTCTAGATCTCAAAACCCAGAAAAACCAGATCTCCTCCCTTACCATATGCAGGCAATGATGCATCCAAGTACCCCGGTCAAGCTGTTCTGAGAAAGTGAGATCATTTTATCTTCATTATTTTTCTCTATATTATGTATCTGGGGTTTTTTCCTTCAATTTTTTGCTTAATTTAAATCTGAACTCAGTTGTCGATTGTGTAGACTGATAGGCTGTTTCCTTAAGTATGAAAAGGAAAGGAAATGAGGATGTGATTGGAAAATGATCCCTGCGCCTAATTACAATGATAAACAATGTCAAAAATGATAGGTGCTCTGTGTGTGCCGCGTGCATCACATATCTTGTTTTATATGCAATAGAAAGGTTTCCATTCCCCTCTGTGTGCTAAACTGGCCTTGAAAATATACCAATCCAGGTTTTGAAATGCCAACGCTAATGCACTATTGCCTGTATTTTCAATACATATTAATAACCATGCTAATCACTTCACAATTTCTTGAATTCAAGTTTATATTATATTGATTTGACTGACGTAAGTGGTTCAAGGTAAGCAGGCTTGATTGCCTATTCCCTTTGGTAATCCTGACATCTGGAGAATCTTGTAGTAAGTAATTTTTACACATGTAATGTGCTATTAGTATGTGTATAAATCTGTCATACATGCGAAAAGAAAAAAGATGAAGAGGTATTGTCACTAATGTTTATTATCTGTTGAGGTCTGTTCTCTGTATGCCTACTTTCTGTACAATTTGGCATGTGGGGTATTATTGGGATGGGAGATAGTTTGTCGTATTGTCTTCAAGCCATTTTGTACTTACAGTCTGCTGCTCATATACTTTAAGCTCTTGGCTCTTGTGTTCCCCAAAAATGACTTTGGTTGATGACTTTATCTCATTTGCCTTTCTAATTTATTTGAGGCTTTAACTTCTGCTTTACTTGCTGATTGCAGCAGCACCTCAAATTTGCTTACTGATGGCCATAGTCAGTCACTGCATCTGAAATCACAATCAACTCCTTTGGTACCTGTAGGCTATCAACCTGTTCGGAGTTTTCGGCCTTCTGTTGCTCTTCAACAGTAAGTTTTAGGTTTTCTATTTCATCTCCTTGCATTCACTGTATTTTTGTCGTTTATGTGTGTACACTTGTATATGATTTACAAAGTTAATATTGAAATCTTGTATTGTTGAAATTGAAGTCTTGTCTTGTATTTAGGCACTATCGTTGTGCAGTAAATTGTCAAAAGATGCTTCTGTAATATTTTGCTTGTGCTTCATGAGCACTTATTCTGTATGCTGAAATGCTCTCGCTTTCCATAGCTTGTTAAACCTTGTTTTGCCATTATTACTCCTGTTGAAATATGGCAATTCTCAATGCCCTGGTCAATATTGTATTTGCATGATCTAGGAAAAACATTGAGTTCAGTTGATGATTGTTGAAATCTTCCTTTGAGTGAAAGAAAGGGAGATAAGACAGGATGAATGGGATTAATTATCAACTTTGGTGAGTTCCCTGTGCGTCTATTCATTTTAATAAATCTAAGTTACTATGGGGACTAGATGGTATGAGATGCCACCATATGGGGTTGACTGGTGTGGTATGTAAGGATAATCTTTCTTTTAAGGGTGGGTTCTCCACGGACAGTGGGGTCCCTATAATAAATGAAGAATAATACAATACAATAAACACAAGGCCAGTTCACTAATGTGTCAGCCAATATCTATCCCACCCATCACACTATTATAACACTGCCCCTCAAGTTGAAGATTATAGAAGCTTCAGTTTGTTGCGAATAAAAACAAAGTAGACACTAAAGAAAACCACAATTAGGCACCTAGACACTTGCATCATGATTCAAGAACTTCAGCAGTTACCAATTCCTCTAACATTGTTCGCCTCTCTGAAACAACTTTGAAAATTCGTGAACATGCTTACTGTAGGTGGCTCTGACATGCTTCTATCTGTTCTACTTGGCCATGTTGTCCAACTCACTTGCAGATCTGTTATAAGCTTTCAATTTACTTCCCTTGGGTAGTCCCCCCAGCCTATGATACTGGGTTACAGAGTGAGACAAAATGTTGAAGAATTATGTGTTTATTTTTGTTCAAGGATATTGTAGTTTATTACTGTCTAGGAGTTGTTTGATTATCTCTTAAGATTATTAGATAAGCCAGAGGGAAACAGGAATTTTGCATTATTGCCTCATATGGAGGATGTAAGGATAGACTCTAAATAGCTGGATTTTTTTTAGAAGGCAAGTGAAAGATTAGAATCAGTTTCTTTGGCTACCTATATTGCCTACTAGTCTCAGATCATTTATCAATGACTCCTTTTCATGGTTCAAGCTGATGTCAGGGTTTTATGTTCTTTGTGAATCATCTTACTGAACTATTAAGAAAAGTGGGGAAACCCTTGTTTCAGGCTCCTTTCATTTTACAAGACTAAATATGCAAGCGCTGAGGAGGAATGTTGTACTAAATTGGTCTAAAGATAGTCCTATTTATTGTTGACTTAAATATTGTCTCAAGTTGTTTATAAACTTATATAGGCTGCCTGCCATTTGCTGGCTTTCTTGCATGGACAATGCTTTCTTACTACCTCGGATGTCTTAAATGCCTTCCATGTTCTTTTCCTGAAGTTATTCTTGTTATGTATGTAGGCCAGCTGTAGCTTCCGGTACATTGGGTAACCTGGCCAGTCTATCAGGCAGTTATACCAGCTCACCGGAACATCAGGTCCAATCCTTGGTCTCAACCCAGGTTGTTTCTCATAATCCTCGGGGTTTTGTGAGTGAAGTTAATGGCTATCAAGTCAGAACTAGGTCCCCTCCTTTGCCATTAGTCAAATCTAACGAAGTTTTGCAGCATAATTATACTGTTGCTCAGAAAGATTTGATGAGGTAAATCACATTATTTTTTGTGATCCTACATGGTTCTTATTTATAACTTGCATAAGTTGTCAGAGTTCTAAATGTATCTGAGTTATGTAGAGTTATGACCCCAGTGCATTTGATCTTTAATCTAGATTCCCTATAGCAGTATGAAATCCTAAAGAATATTCACATGCTTGTAAATTCCTAGGAAGCATTTAATTATATGCGGATCCGAAGGTGTGAATAATAAATTTCAATTTATTTAAGGCGCTTTCATAAGCGTTTGGTTACATGTTGGAGTGCTATCAGTATCTATAGGTTGGATTGAAATGGACTTGTTGTCTGACAAGGTCATTTGTGCTGAAAGAGGAGGTATAAAGAATTTTTGAGTTAAAACCTCCTTACCAGATGTGTTTTTTAGATGTGACCAATGTACATCAATGAAGACTCTATTGGCTTCATTAAAAGTCACAGATGCTATTATTAAAAAAATTGTTGCAGATATATCGTAAAGGCCCTGAACTATCAAGATAGTTTGTGAGAGAGAATTTATACACAGGAACATTGTGGCTACCTTATGAGAACTATCAAGCTCATGAGAGTTGGTGTTTAAAGGAAAATGATAAGATTGACTTTCTTGAGTTGCAATGCTTTTTAGCATACATTATTATTTATATCTCACTTGAAAGAATAAAACAGCATGTACATATAGATAACCTGTTCTCTGGTTTCCATTTCAGGCCTTCATCTCCTCCTAATTTGGGAAATACGTCTAGCATTATAAGGAGTGGCCCTCACGCACAAGTCTATAAAAAATCTTCACCACCTGCTACAGTTTCCGAAGCTGCATTAAACAGCTCCATCAGTTCCTCTACTCCTAAAAGAACAAGATCACCTCCTCGAATATCTTCAAGTGATAAAACTCTTGAAGGAAAAATCAACTCCTCAAATGACAATTCTGAACGGTAAGTTATTAGGTACATTGGTGCCATCGTTTTTCACTATGGAGGTTCTTTGTCATCACATTATGTCTTTGATGGTCTTCATTCTTATTGTTTCTTTTAGCGAAATGTTAGCCAAGGCAAAGCGTTTAGCTCGGTTCAAGGTGGATCTAGGCAAATCTGAGCAGAGTGATTCTGATACTGCAGACAGGAAGGCTTCTGCAAGTAGAAATGAACAATCTCTGTCAGAGGAAAAATATGATGGTGGCCATTCTATACAACCAACTGTCAATGTTGCTAATGGCCATGCTTTGTCTGATTCTGAAGGCCTCAAGACGTCCAACATAATTATTGGCTTATGTCCAGATATGTGTCCTGGTATATTTCTCAGGTTTTAAATCTAAAAGAAAATTTGTTAGAACTTCTATATTTTGGTTCTATCTGATATTCTTTTTTTTTTTTTTTATAGAAACTGTATATCCATTAATCACAAAAGTTTCTATCTCATATACCCAGTCTGCAAATGAAACAATTTCATGCTGTTAAAGTCTTTTTCTAATTTGTTGTTAGAAAGATCATATTGGAGAGAGTAGTTCATTTTGTCGAAAGCCAACAAGTGTACTATTTTCTGGGGAAAAGAAGGGAATGTTTTTTTTTTTTATTTGTTCATTTTTCAGAGTCAGAGAGGGCAGAGCGTGAAAGGAAAGGGGATCTTGATCAGTATGAACGAGTGGATGGGATAGAAATGTAACCAGCAGAGTTCTTGCAGTTAAGAAGGTAATTATCATGTAACTGTCATTTTCTATGAAGCACTCATTGCTCTTTTTGGGAGGTTATTATAAATATTCTTTAATAATATTCATTAATGGGGTGAAACATGGCAGTATAATAGGACAGCAGAGAGGGAAGCAAGCTTGATTCGGCCTATGCCTGTTCTTCAGAAAACAATTGATTACCTGCTTGATTTGCTAGATCAGCCGTATGATGAAAGGTTTCTTGGCATGTATAACTTCTTGTGGGACCGGATGAGGGCAATTAGGATGGACCTGAGGATGCAGCACATTTTCAACCAAGGGGCTATAGCTATGTTGGAACAAATGGTGCTTTCTTCTTTGAATAATGTTAATGCCTTTTTGTTGCATACATGTCCATTAGTCTTTGGTTCTAGTGGCAATTAATATGTTAGACTGCAGTTTAAAGATCATGGGTTCAATATCCATTAGGTGTACTGCGTAGTAACAGAATAAGTCATTCACATCTTGTAAAATGACCAATCAAATTAT